AACCTATTTCGAGTTAGTTCGTTAGTGAGCTCGTAATACTTAGTGACAACGCGCTTTGAAATACGCGAATATAGAAATGTGTCTGGTCTGGAGGCTGAACCACAAGTATCCTCGGGGATTTTGTGTTGTTTCTCATACGTATCCATCATGATAGTCTAATCCGAAGCCGCTTTAAGGATAGAGTAGGGCTTGACGTTTGATTTTGTAGCCCTGGTGCTCTCTCTCACAAAACCTATTGATCGTTCGTTTGTGGTTGTTTCCCTTTGCGCTCTGGCTACCGAAGGACTGGCCGCTTCACGTATGATCTCTAAAACCCTATAGTGACGACGCGAGAGTTGACCGCTGTCCAGGAGAACCTTACATCTCACTAGCGAATGCTTAGCAGTTCCAACTGCCTTTCCGCAGATATAGCAAGTGTTTTCGGTACCTTTACCCCATCTTACTGAATTGCTCTGGTCTGGGAGAGTCCTCTAGCACTTAATAACACAAGCCGTAGGGTTACAGGATATACTCCAACAGAACTAATGTTTGGCATACGCGCGCAATCTTTAGGGATATCATTAATAGCCCAAAATTCAGACGAGCCGAGATTAGATTTAGACAATATCCGGAATAAAACTTCCCTCAACACTGAAAACGCAGATCAAAAGGAAGTAGTTAAATTTAATAAAGGCAAAGCCCAAGTAAAACCTTCTTTTCTTTCTCGGGGAGATTACGTTTTTGTTAAGTGTAGCGAGTGTTACCAAACTAAACTACAAAGAAAGTTTAGGGGACCTTTTATCATAATTAAAATTCTAGACAACGATAGGTACGAACTGAAACATACCGATGAATCTAATTGCACTTTAAAATACTCTCATGAAAACTTGAGCGCAGTACCCAGAGGCTTTGAAGGGTTAGTTGACATATCCACTGAACTAAGTAATGAGGAGGCCGAGACGGCGGGTCATGGAGTGGAGAGAATGGAAACGAAGCTATGTCAGATGATGAAAGTGAGTAGCTGAGTAGCTCTGATGGCCTCCAACATTGATAAACCATAAATGAGTTGTGTAAGTTTGAGTTGGTGTGTTTGAGGTGGCGATGAAACTGGCTGATGCGGCCGATGTTTCTAGTAGTGATGGATCAAAGCGTGCAGGGGCTGGCTCGATGGAGTCCACGTCCGGTCGACGCTTGATCAGGTTGTGAAGATGGACGGGCTAGCTCGGTGGAGTCTATGTCCGGGTCATCGTTCACTCACATGAGTTTGGCTAGTGGAGATGGACGGGCTAGCTCGGTGGAGTCTATGTCCGGGTCATCGTTCACTCACATGAGTATAAGTAGTGGAGATGATGGGGCTAGGTCATTGGAGTCTACGTCTCGATCATTGTTCACTGATATGTGTGTGATGATGCTCTGCAGATTGGTCAGACGAAAGTTGTCGTCCGGGTCAGATCCATTTACGTTGGCTGACTTGTCCTGGAACCTCTGCAGATTGTGGTAAGACGAAAATTGTCGTCCGAGTCAGAGCCATTTACGTTGGCTGGCTTGTCCTGGTTGCTCTGCAGATTGTGGTAAGACGAATAGTGTCGTCCGGGTCAGATCCATTTACGTTGGCTGACTTGTCTTGGAACCCCTGCAGATTGTGGTAAGACGAATATTGTCGTCCGAGTCAGAGCCATTTACGTTGGCTGACTTGTCCTGGATGCTCTGCAGACGGTAGTAAGACGAATGTAGTCGTCCGAGTCAGGAGCCATTTAAGTTGGCTGACTTGTTCTGGTAAGACGAATGTAGTCGTCCGAGTCAGGAGCCATTTAAGTTGGCTGACTTGTTCTGGTAAGACGAACGTAGTCGTCCGAGTCAGGAGCCATTTAAGTTGGCTGACTTGTTCTGGTAAGACGAACGTAGTCGTCCGAGTCAGGAGCCATTTAAGTTGGCTGACTTGTTCTGGTAAGACGAACGTAGTCGTCCGAGTCAGGAGCCATTTAAGTTGGCTGACTTGTTCTGGTAAGACGAATGTAGTCGTCCGAGTTAGAGCCATTTAAGTTGGCTGACTTGTTCTGGTAAGACGAACGTAGTCGTCCGAGTCAGAGCCCTTTAAGTTGGCTGACTTGTTCTGGATGCTTTGAACATTGTGGCAAGACGAATGTAGTCGTCCGGGTCAGAGCCCTTTAAGTTGGTTGACTTGTTCTGGATGCTTTGAACATTGTGGCAAGACGAATGTAGTCGTCCGGGTCAGAGCCCTTTAAGTTGGTTGACTTGTTCTGGATGCTTTGAACATTGTGGTGAGATGAATGTTGTCGTCTGGCTTAATTGCTACGAGATGCTCGCCTTAAGTCTTAAGTACCATAGCACATTTTGATGATTGTAACTAGTCGTTTGTCAGGATGCCGAACGGAATAGACACAACTGTAGTTCATTGATCCGAGAACCGCCCGAGGACGGTCGAATGTCAGTCCGGCCGTGACGGCGCATCCGTCAAAAATCATACGTCAGGTTGACTTTTAGCTGTCTGAGGTTAGCCTAGTGAAGCGTCATTGTGATGGTAGCGAGGGCGGCCATCTTTATTATGGAGTATCGTGCGAGATGACGCCCGCGCACCGCGCTCGTGACGAATCGCTGTGTATCGAAGTGATAGTGATATCTAGTGTTTCGATTGAGTTGGTGTCGTATTGAATAGACTGTACTTTATCCCTTTCAAAGTATGAGTTCCCATGAAGGCCCTCCTGTTCTTATAACGCCCTCCTACATATATTTTACCTACATTATTTTTTAATCAGGTTTGCCCACGATAGTTTTTATTGTCATGAAAAAATAAATCTCCTTTTAATATAACTTATTAAAGTAATACTTAATATTGACATTCTGTATAGACGAAAAAAAAACCCTATTATACGTATTAATGATAATAATTTATACAGATGTTACGTCTTCGTTTACGATTTTACTAAATATTATTATTTATTTACACTTGGCTTTAAACTTTTAGGTCAGAAAACCTAGACATGGACGCGAGTGGCCTTCTTCATCACAATCGGTTTAAAAATTCAGAATATCAGAAAATATAAAGAGTGAAATAAATCATCGCTAATTATGCTATTGAAATAAAATGAATGAAAATATTCGCAGAACTGAAGGAGGTAATAAGAAATTGATGAGGATAAATTATGTGAAATTATTTAAATAAAGTACTTAAATGTTACGTATGTAGCAAGCAGATGTGTGAATACAATATTATGTTTTTCTAGTTTTCGTTGTCCCGAGGGATCTCAATCGCATTTCGTCAAAAATTATTTTTATTATTAATTTCACTTGATTTAATACATATTAAGGAATTCTATAATATTTACAATATATATGTCTAATAGGTTAAAACTTAAATATCATTAAACCATGACAAAATAATGACCGCATGAATAACAAATTACATTTTGATATCGAAATTTATTACGTAATTAACATACGTTGAATTAATTTTGACGTTATTATTAATTCATTTTTATTTTTATATGACATAACGCATCATTTATAAGTTCGAGGACGTGTTTTTAACTTAAGCATTGCTGTATCATGTCTAAGACATTTAAAATAGTTTCTGAATTCATTTATATAACAAAGCGAGAGAAATAGAAGGATTATTAAGAGAATAGTAAGTAATACGGAAGGTTACAAACGCGGCACGAACATTTTTTAGAGTATAATGGAATAGTAAATCAACTCACCGATTTAAAACTTTTAAAAAGGTTCCAAATCCACGGCAAGTGGCTACTTCACCGGTGTATGTCACAGTCATGTTGATACTTTAATATATTGTTAGGATATCACAGATTTTTAACTTCTTGTTGTATTTCATACAAAAACACGCATGTTAAAAAGTTAAGTAATTTTTCACATATGCGCTGGACATGAATCCAAAACAAAAATGACTATCACGACTCACTTTAAATTTTTCTTCTATTTGGAAGAGAACAATGAGATAAAAACTGCATTGCAGTAAAACAACATTAAAACTAGTAATTCTAAACACCACACACACAACCGGCAAAATTCATGCCGCAGCGTAACTGTTCGTAGTTACATACTATGATACTAATACACAGAGCGTCATTAACACCTATACACACTACAGTCAAGTGTCAACATACATGTCATGAACTGAGATTTGAATGTCAGGATAATTTGACACTTCATTCGATTTCGTTTTAAGAATGACATTGACAGTACACTAAAATCGGAAATACCACCAAAAACTTGCTCTTTTTATCATTTACTTCCAAAATTTGAAACTAAAGACTTAAGACTTCTAAAATTTGCGATCTTAAATACCTATTCAGTTATTCCAAAAGAACATAAATAAATTAATTAAATTAAATAATAAAAGAAACGAATATATCAAAAGTATGTAGGATCAAAATTATTTATTAATTAATAAACTCTGTTAAACCTAACATGAGAAACAAAAAATGAATTAATTACTACAATGAATTCAAAGAAAAGACCAAACATACGCAAAATCTCTTGCCTAATAGCAATTTATTGAATATAACTTTAGTAACCAGAATATTGAAGTTGAATAAATTGTGGTTGTGATGACATGTCTTTATATATTGTAATATTCGGGGAAAAGGGACTGATTCTTGTTATTTGTTAATCTGTCTTATGTCTATACTTGTAAAGAATAATCTCTTTTGTTTTATTAAGGGTAACGGTAAATGCTAATATGAAACTATAATATTTTTTGTTTTATTTCTTTATGTACAATATTATAAATAGCATAGTATCTATCATCACAAAGACCTACTCGTAAATTTTGTCCTTAAATGATAGATATAACTTTATAATTTCAAAGTTTCGTACGATTTCTTTTTCTTAAACTTAAACTTAAATGAAAGGGGCAAACAGCCAGTTGCTCAAATCAGCTGATCGGTTAAACTTCATGTAAAATGTCACTTGTCATTTAATCGTGCTCTGCGGTTTTGTTTTGATGTAAATATTATTGTTTACTTGATAGTGTTACAGCTAGTATGTCAAATAAAACGGATAATGAGGGAAAAACCAAAAATATTGGGATAGAATCCGATGATGAAATAATTTTACGCCGTAAAAGACAAAATGCCGAGAGAGTTCGTGCTTTTAGGGAGAGGAAAAGGGCTGGTGAGTTCATATAATATTTACAGTGAATTTATTAGAATTATTCTATTAGTAATCATAATTAGATTCAAAGATAACAGATACTCATGCCTCTTTGTTACTTCTCCTTATTATGACAAGATATTTAATATTTGTCCATTGTGAAATATTAGGACGATTAAATACTCATATAAAATAAGTACTTACTTAAACTGAAGTTGAAACAAATTTGGTTATTTAATTACCTTTCATTAATTTCCGAAAAATATTATTCTAATACACAATATTTAAAATGTTCTCTTACAAACATTGAGAGTGCTTAAAGGTATCCTATGGAATTATTTAATTTATTTTTTATCACACAATACAATTTGAATGTGTGGTATATAATGTACTGTGTGAATGAAAATTCTAAAAAGCGCTAGTGTTTTCAGTTTTAATAATTTTTACTTATACATTAGTGATGCTAGATTCTCTCAATATTCAGTTCAAATTAAATATGTTATACAAAACTGTTAATATATAGAAGGAATATGATTTGTTTTTAATTATATTTGTACTATAACATCCATAACTTTTACATTGACCTAAAAATTAATAGTATTTTTTTTAGGGGAAAATTATTATCACGGACTAAGTATATACTTAGATTCTTTTGAAAAAAAAAAAATTGTTGTAAAACACTATAATAGTGTACCATAACACATTTAAAAAATGTACTTATAAACATATAAAAATTATTGTTGATAAATGTGTAAATGTCAAAGAAAAATTTTCTGGCAATTTAATGAAGGTATATTATATGTAGCACATGGTATTTACTAGAGTATAACTAAGGAATAAGGCAATAAATAATAACTCATAATTTGCTACAACTATAATTCTTCAAGTTATACATAGAATAAAAGATTAAAAAGATAATTAAAATCATTTACAGCCCCCACTTACCTAGAGAATTTACCTTCTTACCTATAGGCTTTTGAAAATAGTGTTTTTATTTTAAGAATTAATCAATTGTTTGTTGCATTATATTTTAGTAAGTAATTTGACTGGAACATATTTTATTGATTAAGACACACTTTCTTTTACATAATAAATTCAAAACAAAGTAGTTGCCAACTTGTTGTCTTTTAATAATGCTATCGCAGACTAAACACAGTCATTCTTGTAAAGATAAATCTTTTGATCTATATACTTATAGACAACATTCATTAGTTCATCATTGGGCAGACCCTGGCAAAAGCTGGGAAATTGCCAGGAAGAAGAACATTCATTAGTTCATAGTAGAAATGTAGCCAAAACACTCAAAATATGAAATTACAAGACATTGGTTAAAGCTTTAAGCTAATTATTTTACCTAATGATATCTAAGACTATTGTAAGTCTTCATTTAAATAAAATTAATGTTTTGAAATGTACTATGTGTTTTTTATTATTTTAAATTACATTTTTTTTTACCTACCAAGAGTATAGCAAACAGTTTATGTTAATAAACATGTTACTTAAACAAAAATTTTCCATACTTTTCTCAAATATTTTTTATAATAAATTATTTTAGATAAATAAATGTATGTATGTGTGAATTAGTGTTTTCAACTCAAACACATACTAAATAAAACGAATAACTCATACTAAATCTTGTCTGCCCATGATCATGGTTCCTGGAAAGTAACCAAAAAGTCAGCAGTATGTAGTTTAAAATAAAAAAAGTAAAAGTTAAAAAAAAAGAAAACAAACTTAAATATAGAAAATAATTTTCAATTACAAAGCAATTATTTTAATTCAGAATAAAAACTTAAAAAACGGGATATTTTATATTGAATGTTACAATCATTCTAGTGGCAACTATCTATGAGTGGAAAACTATAAGACGTAGTCAAAAGTAAAGTTAAATGGCACTAACTAATATAACTTAATGGGAAACTAATTCTCCTCTTTAACACTAGTACAAATATACAGAATATTATTCAAAATATGCGAGTGAAACACCTAAAAATTTTCACTTCATTCATTTAAATATGTAAATGTAATTTCATGTGCTGATAGATTTTTTATTTCATTTCTGCATTAAAAAGACCGAATACATGACGTATTCGGTCTTTTTAAAAACATGTTAAACCGAATATTACGCTTACTTCGCTATATCTAGCAATCAATTTCCAATTATGACTGTACATAGATTTTATTATTTAATAAATGATATAAATCAAACACTCTATAAAATAAATATCGGCTACATTTATTTATTTATTTAAAATCTTTATTGTCTAACTACACACGTAGATACAAAAGGTGGACTTAATGCCTGAAGGCATTCTCTCCCAGTCAACCCTTAGGCAAAGCAGAAAGACATGAAGACGGTAGTATGTAAAAGTAAAAATATACATATTAATTTCTGTTGATATATACATAATATATACACATATATATAGATACATATACATACACATACATATACATACACATACATACACATACATACACATACACATACATACACATACATATACATACACATACATACACATACATATACATACACATACACATACATATACATATACATACACATACAAATACAATACACCAAAAACAATAATAAAAACAGAGACTTAACACAGATTCTGAGCAAAATGTTCCTGTAAGCGACGCCTGAAAATTGCCCTTGTAGGTGCCTTTCTTATTTCTAGTGGAAGTTTATTCCACAGTCTGATAGATTTAACAGAGAAGGAGTTGGAGAGGAAACCAGAGTGGTGGCTGGGAAAAGAGAGGAGGAGAGAGTCATTAGAGCGTAGCTGTCGATCATGATTGTCGCAGAGAAATTTAAAATTATCTTTTAAGTAAAGAGGAGATTGGGGATCAAAAAGAATAGAGAAAAGAAGACACAATAGACGTAATTCTCTGCGTTGGCGGATGGGAAGCCATTTGAGCTCTGCTCGACAGTGAGAAATGTGGTCAAATTTACGAAGACAAAAGATAAAACGTAAGGAGTTATTTAGGAGACGGTCAAGTTTGTTCAAAAGGGTTTCATTGAGAGCAGGATAACACACATCAGCGTAATCTATAATAGGAAATATAAGGGCTTGTACAAGTAAGATTTTAGTTTTAATAGGTAAAAAAAATTCCTTAAACGATTAAGGCACCTTAACGTGGCAGTGACAGAACGACTAACTTCAGAAATATGCACATTCCAACTTAATGTACTATCAATATGAAGACCAAGATCTTTAACGCGGTGGAAGTATGGAATAGTCGTATTGTTAAAAACGATAGGTGACAAAGAAGAAATATTTAACTTAGACATGAGACGTGAGCTACCAACAATGATCGCCTGACACTTAGTAGGGTTAACTACAATGCCAAATTTATTACACCAGTTGTAAACGTAAGAAAGATTTTGATTTATTTTATTTATAGCTGTTTCGATATTGTCTATCTCTGAATTAGAGTATAGTTGCAAATCGTCGGCGTAAAAATGATAAGAACAGTCGAGATGAAAAGAAAGGAAATTTATAAAAAGAGAAAAAATAATAGGAGATAAAATGCCACCTTGCGGAACGCCAGCAGAAAGATCAAGCCACTCGGAGAGGGACTGATTCAGCCTAACCGCTTGCCGGCGGCCGCGAAGATAAGAGGAGAACCATTCCAGAGCTGATGAAGAAAATTTTAAATGCTTGAATATGGCCAGGACGATATCATGATCAACCATGTTAAAAGCATTGGAAAAATCAATTAAGACCAAAATGGTGATCATTCTATTCTCCATGCCAACCCGAATATCCTCAGATACTTTGAGAAGAGCGGTAGCTGTGCTATGGCCTGGTCGGAAGCCAGACTGATATGAGGTGAGAATATTATTATTGTAAACAAAGGAAGAGACCTGCTTGTAGACACACAGCTCCACAATTTTCGATAGAAAAGGAAGAATAGAAATAGGTCTGAAGTTATTTAGTTGGGAAGGATTGGGAATTAAATTATTACAACATTTAATATTTTCGGACAGACTTATGACAAACTTTTCAACTATCCCTCGTCTTAAAATGTTGCCACAAGCTAAAAAGTGCTATTAAAAGAGGGACAAAGCATGTTGATGCAATTTGGACAGCTTTAAAGAAAACAAATGCCTACTAAGAGGAATGATTTAAATGTCTTTTAGCTTCTACAAACATTAAGTGCTGAGATCAGATTTATTGATAAATATTATCAAATATCGATATATTCGTTGAATATACATGTGCGTGTTTCACTAAAACTGTTATATGCACATTCCTTATCTGCCGACGGTGTGGTTAATAATTATGAATAAATGTAGCATAATTCTTAAATAGTTTTTTAAATAAGATTCTATTTTAATTATATACATACATTGTCTATTTTACATTTTTTTAATGAACAGTTAAGCTAAATTTCAAACATTAAATATTGATCATATTGTGACAAATTTTCTGATAAGCAGATGCGTTTTCACCTTTATTTTCATGTCATTAATTTATGTTGTAATCGATAAAGAATTTTTAAACACCGTTTCAATTGAGAAAATAAAGTCAAACAATTTTATAATAACAATTACATCGTCCATTAAATATGTTTCATTTTATTTAGGTCTTCAATCAACCTCTCCAGCCGAAGCGAACTCTCAGATGCTGAAAATAATGGATCCTGGGCCCGAAGATATTGTGGACATAAAAATTCTGCATCAAAAACAACTAAACGCGGAAAGATGCCGCAGGTATCGTGAAAAACGAAAAAGGCTCATAGAGGGCGTAAATTCTAACCAAGGCACGAGTGACAGCGACGGGAGTTTGTGTCTAGATTCATCCACGCGATTAGTTGGTAATCCAGAGGAATTTGAAATCTCGTCCAATCAGATTCAAGGTTCCGACACAAATTCCAGCACTCCAGCGGGTGTTTACTGTCGCCGGTACCGAAAAAGACTCAATGCGAGAAGAAAAAGAGTAGTAGAAGAGCCGTCATCGTTCTATACGTTATATATCAAACATAACGGTGCTCATAATGTGTTCGAAAACTTATTTGAGAATAATCTATTCGGTTTTTCGTGTACTGTTTGTGAAACACTTTGGTTCGAAAATGATTTGAAAAGACCACCTTCATCATGTAGTGCAATCTTGGAACAAATATGTCCAACTGTCTCAGTTCAAGATATTCTCGTGTGTGCGACCTGTAGAGTTTCATTAGTTGCTGGTAAAATTCCGAATTTATCAGTGTATAATGGGTTTAGTTATCCACCTAAGCCGAATCTCCCGGAATTAGATTTAGTTTCTGAGCGATTAATATCACCTATATTACCTTTTATGCAAATTCGAAGGTTGCGCTACGTTAAGGAACAATACGGAATTAGTGGACAAGTAATCAATGTGCCGGTTGAGAATAATAACATGGTCCAGTTTTTGCCTCGTAATTTACAAGACGATTATTGTTTAAATGTTCACTTTAAAAAACGATCAATGTTCAAATCCTCTTATTTGAAAGATCTGGTAAAAAAGAGGGTTCTTAAAGAATGGCTGGATTACCTTGTAGACACCCCACTTTATAAGCACTATGATATAAAAATCAGCCAGGATTTTTTGAAAGAATTTAGTGATAATAGTGTTATACCAGATATTGTTTTAGATGATTTTGCTGAACCAATTCTAATATACGGTAATTCAGTTGCTGAACAGAATACTCTTTTATGGTCAGAAGATAAATATTTACAAAGTGCAGCGGAGGGATCCAAAAGCTCTACCGGCCTAAACTTTAATGATCATGTGGAAGAATTATCTTTCCCGGAAATTTACTACGGTCAATTTCGCGAATTTAAAGATGGTGTTAATTATAAAGCATGCTCTATTGCGACAAGTGAACTGCGGCGCAGTGACAGACGAGGCGTTACTCCTCGCCACTTGCTCTTCTTAGCTATGAAGATCATTCGACTCCGACTAAGTGAAAATAAACCTACTTCTTCCAAAAATGTCGCCCACGGCGAAAACATATCGGAAGGCCAATTATTATCTTCCAGTCATCTCAATGGCTGTGTGGAATCAGGTTTGACTCTTCTCAAATCCATACCAAATTCTGTACAATATTGGCAAAGTCGGAAAAAAGACCTCTTTGCGATGATCAGGCAACTTGGTAAGCCCACGGTATTTTTGACTTTATGCGCCAATGAAATGTCGTGGAAAGCACTTTTAAAAATATTACATAAATTGAAACATGGTAAGGATATCACCGATGTAGAAGTCGATCAACTGCACTATAAAGTCAAGTCAACCTTAATCAATGAGGATGCAGTTACGTGCGTCATTTATTTCAATAAACTTGTGAACGTCATATTGGCAATTCTTCAAAATAAAACCGTTAGTCCATTTGGTAAGCATTATGTGGAACATTATTTCAAGAGAATTGAATTTTCACACAAAGGAACTCCTAACGCGCATATTTTGCTTTGGCTGAATGAGGCGCCTAAAGATGCTTTTGGGGCAAATATGAATGAGGCTATTCAACTTATTGATGATTTAATATCAGTGTCAAGAACGGATTCATCAGGACATATTGATCTCGTCACACATCATCACACTTCTAGATGTTATAAAAATAATATAAATCAAAGGAAATGTAGGTTCAATGCTCCTTTTATGCCTTGTCGTTCAACTGTTTTACTCAAGCCGTTAGTTAGATCTACTGATGACGAAAAACGTCTTTGTGAAAAGTACAAAATTAGATATCAAACATTACATCAAAATCTTGAAGACAATGACTACGAAGATATTGATGATTTTTATCGTAAAAATAACGTAACATCTGATGAAGACTATTTTAAAATCTTGTCTGCTGGAATTGTACGGCCAACAGTTTTCGTTAAGCGTCACCCTAATGAAAAATGGCATAACTTTTTCAATCCCTTTATTCTTCACCATTTGAAATCGAGCATGGATATTCAATATATAACAGATGAATATTCCTGTGCTGCATACGTGGTGGAGTGCGTATACCGATCGGACCGAGGCATTAGTGATCTTCAACGAAAACTATATGAACTTTTGGAAGAAAACCCAAATTACGATTTAGGTGATATGAAAAAACATCTGGTCGTTAGTATTTTAAATACAATAGAAATGTCCAGTCAAGAAGCAGCGTGGTTTCTTCTTAGAGAGCCAATGTCTATGTCTGCACCAAAAGTTGAATTCATTCCTACAATGTGGCCTCACGAACGTCATCGTATTAAAAAAATAGAAAAAGAATTAGACTGGCTTTCTGATGATGATACCAATATTTGGAAAGAAAACTGTTTCGAGAAATATGAAAATCGACCTGCAGAATTAGAAAATATTTCGTTAATTGATTTTGTTGCATGGTATGCAGTCAGAATTCGCAAAAAACAAAATTGGGATACAGAAGATGATGAAGAAATTGGAGAAGAGCTGTCATCAGAAAAAAATGTCAATCAACAGAGTGAAAAAAAATATTACCGTAGGAAAATCCCGAGAATAGTACGTTATCAACATTACGATATGACTAAAGAAATACAAGACTACAAACGTGTAATGGTGACCTTGTACGTGCCTTTTCGTAATGAACAAAGGGACATTTTGGCTGAAATGCAATTTGAAAAAAAATACCATGAAAATGAACAATTTATTTTAATTCATCGTGCGGAGTTCGAAGCTCATGTCGATATTGACAAAATTATTGCGGCGTATAAAAAATTATGTCACCCTAATGAAAATGAGGAAGACATTGATATTTTACCACTTTTACACCATTACGAGAATCCAGTCATCGAATTTTGCAAAAATCCAGATACAGGTATGATATCCACTTTAAAGTAGCTATAGTATTAATTTACATAATATTAATTAATTTATTTAACAAATAAAAAAAACACGATATTTTTCAGTTTATTGCTTACTATACTAAAAAGTTTCATCTGCATTGCAGTTTTATAAAATCACAATAGATTTTGAATTATTTAAATAAAAAATATCTGAGTATCAATAGCATAATGATTATACTTAATACTAATGAATATATATAAATTGTACCACAATATATAAGTAATTTTAAAGCTTCGCTACTTTAATTTTTTTTATTAAACAGGAGAATGTTATATATTACATCATCGACCAAGTACTCTGGCAACACTACATTAGGTAGTCTGTTTGTAAATGTACGTGTTATTAAAAAAAAACAGAAATGCCAATATGGCTGAATTAAATTTGCTTGTGTAATTTATTGAATACACAAAAAGTCATTATACTTATAAAAATATATAAAGAAACGAATGCTAATTTTGAACTTTTATAATGAAAGTTGTTGTATAATTGTAATTTTGTCACACTGCTACAGTAACTGACACAATGAGCGATCTCGCCAACGATTCTATTGAAGTGTTGGAGAAGCCGGTAAAAGAAAATGAAATTAAGTTCCCGCCTTTCCCAGGTCTGTTGTTAAATAATTTAGTTTTCAAGTTTCATTCATTAACAATGTATTTAAATGTTGTTTTTATTCATGTATTCAAGAAATATTTTGATTACAATCGTACTTTGTAATTGGACACAACGGTTTCTTAGACATGAAGATGCTGTTAGTGCAAAAATATACAGTATTATCATAGTTGTATTTACATTTTAGATCCGACGGATGAAGATTTTGATGAAGATATACAAGAGGATGAGAGAGATTACTACAAAAATAAATTCAAAGGTATAAATATTAATATGTGTGAAGACTTTATTTAGTAAGTTAGATTCCAATTGTCAATTTTAAGGACTTAAATTTTATTCACATATTGTGGGTTGATATGCATCCTGATAAACTTTACATATAGGTTAGCTTATAACGAACTACAGTAAATTTTTAAGACATCTAATAAAATAGTTGTTTACAACTTTTGTATTCATACAGCTATTTTTCATCCTCAAGTGTTTCTATATAACAATCTGATTACTTTTTCAATACTATTTAATTGATTTTTCCAGATTTGAATACATTAACATCACTGAGATTGCATTGTTCTGCTTGTGATCGTCATTTAGGATGTTCCCCACGGAATGAATCTCGTATGAGACGGCATCCATTATTAAGGACTTTAGTCTGCCATACTTGTCATACATTTTATAATAGCGGAGAGTTTGAAAAGGGTGACGATGGATCTGAATTATATTGCCGTTGGTGCGGCCAAGGCGGCCAAGTCTATTGTTGCTCTGCCTGCCCACATGTCTTCTGTGCGGTAATAAATTTATTTATTTTTTTGTATAAAAATTAACAAATGATATCTTGCCAAACTCGAGAGTTTGTAGGCAAGTTTGTCATTAAACAATTATTAACCTATTTTTTACTTATAAAACATTCTAACATTAATATACTGCTTTACTTACAATTATGATTTTAAATGAAAAATACAATAAATACTCTTTAAATTTTATTAGTGTTTAAAAAATATGACTATCACTTTGTTTTATAGAAATGTATAAAAAGAAATTTGGGTGCGCCGAAGATAAAAGAAATCGAAGAATTAGATGACTGGAAATGTTTTAAATGTAATAATAAATGTCTTTGGGATTTGAGAGGTCTCTGCTGGGCCGTTCTGAGATATTGCAGTTTAAAAAATAGGTAACTATTAATTTAATATACAGTTTCTAATAGATATGCATATCAATAAAATGAATATTTTATTTAAATCATTAAATTTTCCAATTAGAATTTTGCAACAAACCAAAGATATGACTATAAAAGAAGCATACTTGAAAGACTGTGCTCAAGATTGGTCTGAATGTTGTAAAGGTAAAGTTTCTAAGAAAAAAGAGAAACAGGAATCGAAGAAGAAAGAAACAGATACATCTATTAAAAAACAAACAACTGCAATTATAAATAAAATACCACCAACAATACAGGTAAACCAAATATTACACACATATATATAAAATTCAATTTCATACTTATTATCTTATATATAAAAATCTTGTGTGGTGGTGTTAGACAGAGAACAACTCCGAAACAACTGGACTGATTTTGATGAAATTTTGTGTGCATATAGAGTAGGTCTGAGAATCGGTCAACATCTATTTTTCATACCCCTATGTCATAAGGGTTGTTAATTCTCCTTTTTTTTCTTATTTTTTTATTTAAAATAATATGTACAACCCAAAATTTTTACTTTTTTATCACCAACTCCTATTCTTTTATAACGCAAAACAATGTTTGCCAAGTCAGCTAGAATTATATCATATTTATAAATAACACACATAATACATATTTGTAAAACAGGTTAAAAAGTTTGCATCAATCAACTTGGATGAATCACCAAAAATGGAGGCAAAGAAAGCACAAAAACGACCCGCCAGCCCAAAGAACAAACCAATCATTATAAAAAATCCATTGTCCATGCCAACAACTGTTGTCAATCAGATGAATGCATCACCAATGCCTAAAAAACTTAGGGTATGTTAATATTTTATTATATATATTTGATTCAATATTCACATAAATATATGTATAGATATTAAATTGTAAACTGTTCAGGTATCACATATTTGAGAATATATTTATAAAGTTTAAACTATCAAGCTTAAAATCTTAAATTTAATTTAAATTGTTACTTAAAATTTGATAGTTAAAGTTTTTAAGCTTTATTATATTAATTTCAATATTAAAATAGATCTCTATCAAAGAGTATTCAACAATTCTTCTCATTAACTCTAAGTAAATTTAGTTTAAATACTTTTATTAATATTATATATTCTTAAAAGTTGAAAATTCTATTATTTCAGATGCCAAATTCTACAGTTATAAATCCGGTGAGATTTAGTCATGAAAGAAAACAGTCGTTCAACAACTACCAGAAAATAAGACCCAAACTACCCCAAATGCCGGTAGTTTATAATGGTTACAATAATGTTAGTACATTTTCAAATGACAATATAAATCTGTCCTTGGAAAACTTAACACAGGTATAAAATAAGTGTCATTGATATTTTTATAATATATAGAATAGATTTTATTAAGGGTATGTGAATTTTTCAGGGTCTAGACATGAATGCGGTTGTAGGGATAGCCAGCACTTCCCAGGATAATGATGTAGTTTGTACACCAGATTTTCCTTTGGAGCCATTGTGTGAGGTAATATGCATTAATTATATACATACATATATGAATAGCTTTCCGCCCGCAGCTTCGCCCGCGTGGAGTTCGGTTATATCGAGTTTCCAAGAAAACCTTTCAAAAGTCTGGAATAAAAACTATTTATCTTGTTCTTTCTCAAGGTCAACTCTATCTCTGTACCAAATTTCATTAAAATCAGTTCAGTAGTTTAGGCGTGAAAGGGTAACAGACAGACAGTTACTTTCGCATTTATACTATTAGTAGGGATAAAACGAAACATATGAGCATTCAATGGATTCACCGTGCGCGTGATGGGTCCATAACATTGCAAGGAGAGGATCCGCAACAGTTGCTGGGACTTCCATTTTATATAAAAAATACATACAAAAATTTTAATAGTATTTACAAAGAGTAAAGGCAAGAAGAAATAAAAATAATTGATTATTTATTTGCATATAATAAACTCTTTTAATCCAGCCTTAATAAGAACTATAGTCTAAATTCCTTATGTGATTGAAGTTTCAGAAAATTTCTTATGTATTTAGTCTCTAACGCAGCAAACAGATTTATAAAACAAATATTTCTGCGATACCATTCTTGATGAAATAGATGTATATCTATACTAGCTTTCCGCCCGCAGCTTCGCCCGCGTGTTGTTCAGTTATATCGCGTTTCCAAGAGAACTTCTCAAAAGTCTGGGATAAAAACTATCCTGTTCTTTTTCAAGGTCTACTCTATGTCTGTACCAAATTTCATTAAAATCAGTTCAGTGGTTAATATGAGAGCGTAACAGACAGAGTTGCTTTCGCATTTATAATATTAGTATGGATAGAGATGGTATTAATGAGTAATTTAATTAGCAGGTGACTGAAGATACCGGCGATGATGACGTTCAGTGTATGACGCCCGGACCTGTAGCGGCGCCTAAAGTGACGGCTGTGGTCCGACAGACCAGTTCACTACCGGATCTATCACCAGAGAATATTATACAGATGACGGAGAATGACGTGACCGTGAACGCGGCCACCGGCGGTCTCAAGTTCCGAGTGGACCCACAGACCTTATCATCAAATAAAATGTACCGCCTCCCCGATGGAAGGATATTCGCTATAAACGCCAACCCATCCATGCCCTGCGGATATTCAGCCACAATAGTCGCTGTTAAAGAAAATACAAGTAAAACACCCAAGGGAACAACGTTCGCAGCGAAATTGAGTGCAGTTTCCACACAACCTGCGCCGACGAAACTCCGTAATCCATTGAATCGTAGCAACATTCGTGCCGCTAGATCCAATAAGAATAAGACAAGCGAATCGAGAATATGTGATATGCATGTTCCCGTCGAATGGTACAGATATAATCTTTTAGACGCTATCGACTCTTTGGAATATCCACTGACGCGTTTGAACCATTTGAAAAGGGAGGCCACCACTATGTACCTCAGAACGAGATCTATAAACGAAATGCGTCACTTACATCACACTCTGGAGAGGGCGCTGTCTACATCAATAACTAGGTTCAAGGAAATCAAAGATAATATTAATAAGGGATTCAAACAGTACGTCGCTAAGAAAACATGTGGCAGTACCAGCGATGATGATGATGTAGAAATATTACAAGAAGACGATGATGACCCGATATATATAGATGAGAACTCAATGGAGTCTAATACTATCGACAATCAGGAAGTGGATCTGACCACTCATAATGATAGCGAAAGAAGCGACAAAATGGATTACTCACGAAACGAAGACTCTATGAACGCTGAACAGGAACAGTTTCTTAAATCAATAGCAGATGTAACGGCCACAGAAGATAAAACAAAAGATATCAATCTGAATGAAAATCACTCGAGTCCTATAAATGAGAATATTAAAATGAACACTGAGAGTGAAAATTCAAATGAAAACGGTGATATCAAGTCAGAGATACAAGACAATAACACAAGCACACACAGCCCGACAGAAATGAATGGAAATGATGATGGATTTAAAAAAGAAAAATTTGATGAAGAAAATTTATTAAATGAGCCGTTGATAACAGATGAGACTGATAAGAAGAACCAAGATGATATAAGCGAGGAAATGATTGAGAATTTACTAAAAGATGACTCCGGGGGTCTCGGTGACATACAGAATGTACAATCACTCGATACTTCAGATGAAAATACATTGGACACGTGTAAAGAATGAAGGTTTGATAAGTCTGTAAAATAGTAATTTAATATATTAGAATGTAGATCATACTTGTTAGCCATTACTCATACAGCAATTTATAATTGATCAATCATCATTATTATGAAACCATTAATATCAACATTTAACAGATAAAGCTACAATATCTTTTTTTTCGTCTGAAGTACATTAAGTTTTTGCTAAATATTGTATAAAATATATATTATAAGCTTGGATATTTAGATTGAATAAGTACATAAAAATATTGTGTAATTTTGTGATACTTATTTTATTTCACGGCTTAGGAACTTTTTTATATATTAGTTATAATATTAAGTTAATGTGAGTTAGTTTTTTTGTATGATTTTCAGTACAATTGTAATATTGCTGCTATAAAATTTGTATTAGGCGTATATAAAGTGTTTAGTGTCCTCAATCTGATTAAAACTATTTGTTATTTAATAATCATTATTTTACGTTTTTGTTTGGTTCTTTATATAGATTTATTGATAAAATATAGTAAAAATCTCCTACTTGTAATAAAAAAAATCTTTGATTTTTCAAATATGATTATTTATGTAAAATGCTTTGTTTCATAAAAATATTTAAGCTTACAGTGAGTGTAAAATGTCTGAGTTATCTTCAAAACTTATAAGCAATTCATAAATACAGTAAAAAATTATTTGATTTTGTATGACTATATAAATATATGTAAATCAATACTAAATAGACAGTTATTTCATTTAGAGCTATACATTTCTAATAAGATTTTTAGTGAATATTAAGGATGACCATCATTTCAAATACATTACAGAACCGTGCCAAATATAATAGAAAAAATATTAAAATTATGGTCACTTATCAAGTTTTGATATAATAAAATATACAATATGCACGACTTCTGTTAATATGTAAAAATATTACAATCAAAATAGACTCGAATTTATTAGTAATATAATTTTCAAAATTCTTTTTCAGCATTTATTTGTCTCAATTTAGTATAAAAATATTAATTATTGTATACTTTTAAGAAAATATATACTTTTCTGTTAGCTTTATAATACTATATATTATGTACTGGGCGAGGGTAGTCAAATGATCAAACGTGAATTTTTAAACATTTAACTTTATTTTCATAGTTATAAGGGATTTGTAATATAAAGACTGGGAATAACAGTTGTAGGAAATATATGGGGCTCATATAACATACATAAGTATCATTAAGTTTAAACTTTAATTGATATTTGATATCAAACTGTATTTTATAATCTTTGTAAATATTTTGTATCTGTTAGGTAATGTAACCAAATGTCGGAGCCACTAACTATTTGTATTCTGTATTCTGTCTAAAAATAGTAATTTCTTTACCAGAGTAGCAATTTTAAAACTGTCCCGTACATATAAAAACTTTTTTGTCAGATCTTCTTGATGTGATATGTTCTAGGATAATAAATGGTGTTTCTATTAAAATAGATTTGCTTTATCATGTATCGAATTGCGCTTTAAATTTAAGAGAAATAATAACAACTATGAATCAAAAGAAAAATCTTTTATTACTTATCAAAAGAGACTATCTGAAAACATTAATATTAAATTATGCAAAAATGTCAAAACTTAAGTTAAATGCATTGTCGTAAATATAAAGCTTATAAATTAAATGAACTTGTATGTATCACAATGATGTACTTGTCGTGACTAAAGATGAGTTTAGAGAATTAATAGCGGAAATGTCCTTTTCTGGAACGTTCCTCATGATACACTCTCATCGGTGAATAGTTGCCGTTAGAACTGCCGTTGGTATTCAAACCTGTAATGAAATAAATAAAAATCTAAATTATTAATGTCACAAATAATTCCTCACTTTTACTACACAATACATGCACACGGTTAAGGATATCATACTACGAAAAAATATAATAAAGAAAAACTGTTTGAGGACGAATCGAGTATGGAATATTTATTAATAAAATTCAAGATCTAATTTTAACATTAATTTCTATGCTTGTGTGTTATATCATTTTTGAAGAAATTTTCAATGAGATGGTATAAGTATATGAAGAAAAAAAAAATTGTGTGCACACTAAGATATTATACATACATTGCAACAACATTGTCGTGAAAGGAATATCCTTACATACCTTTCCCATTAAATTGTCCCTCCACTGTGCTAGCTTAATGTGTACAGAGAAAAATTAATGGCTTGAAAATGACATGACAATAATTCATTTAATATTTTAATGATTACATGACGAGGAAAATGAGATGACTTCGAAGAATATCTTATTAATTATTACCTAATTGGTTTAAATACATATGTCTTAAGTTATGTTGTGTTTCATTTATTCATTAAAGTTTGATACTTATCGATCACTACAAATAGTATGAACTGGTTTTTATTCATAATACTCCTCCACACATGATAATATGAATGTATATTTATGAACAAAAACCTAAAAACATTCAGTATGTATTGTATATTGCATACTAGTGATAGCGAAGTTCGGAACATACAGTCGAAGAAAGAAAATATGTAATAGCATATGAGATGATCTTTATAGTGTTATATTAATATGGGGGCTGAATTTAATGATACAGGATTTACGGGTTAAGTCGACCGCAATCTTTTAAGAGAGGAGATTTTATCATTCCTAACCGATTTGACGATGGAACCCCATATACTAAACCTAACCCTTCTCAAGTTATTGGCCTTTGAATTTATTTTACAAAAAATACAGATTTTTTGTCGATTTATTTTTGTTTTGTGTCCCAATTTTGTATTATTTTTGTGTAAAAGATTAATTGCTTTATTTTTGTAAGCTACAAAACTGCCAGTAACTATACCAAATGAGTCGTAAACAGTCAATTGTTAAAAAAATAAATAAATTTGGAAAAACATATCTTTTTTTGTAAGATATCTTAAAAAAAGTCTATGACATATGTTTTGCTGATGTGCTTAAAAATATCTACGGCTCTTATCAATATTAACCCTGTGTATGTCGTACCTTGTAAGAGATGGTTGGGTGGAGCTTGCGCTGGTGAAGCACATCGCGGCGCTAGTAGCAGGTGATATAGCGCGAGATACACCGCCGCTACCAACAACGATAATACACCAAGGCCGCGATACACCTGGCGGGCGGACTCCAGTGGACGATCCAAGGACACCAACCCACCTATGATGGCCCCGATACAACGACCTGGAGCAACATAGAGCGAGCTCATGTTATATTGGTTTTTGGTAAAAAACTGTTTATTAGTTTGTGTTCGATTAGTCTTCATAAAAATATTCGTTAGTGACATACCAAGAAATTCTGTTTAAATATCAACAAATCTTTTTGTGTGGCATAAAAATTTTTTTGGTCGATTTGTTTATTGTTACTATTTGAATGGACAAGTTGATTTTTGTAAGTAATGGAAACGAACATATTTGGTAGAAAAAAGATCATTAGTATCAGTTATTCAGGTCCTGTACAAGAAATCTACATCAAATTCATTATACCTTTATTTACAATAAATTATTATATTTCTGCCCTATATTAATACATATCCCTACTAATATTATAAATGCGAAAATAACTCTGTCTGTCTATCTGTTACGCTTTCACGCCTAAACTACTGAACTGATTTTAATGAAATTTGGCACAGAGATAGAGTTGAGCTTGAGAAAGAACATAGGATAGTTTTTATCCCAGACTTTTGAAAGGTTCTCTTGGAAACGCGATATAACCGAACTCCACGCGCGCGAAGCTGCGGGCGGAGAGCTAGTAAAATATAAACGAAGGTTAGATAATATTTTGCATGATATATTTAATTAATTGTTCATACCGATACAGAAGTGCGCTATAACGGGCAGAGCTTGCCCAGTAGTGGTGTATTTTCTGGGCACCAGGTGTCTGAAGTACAACATGGCGGTCACCCACACGAGGCTAAGAGTGAATACTTCCAGAAGTTCACACACAACGATCCAGGTGTAAGAGTCACCGTAAGCTAGACCTGGAACCACAAACATTATCACTTTATTTATTAACACCAACAAGACATACATTAATAAAAGCGAAAAATACAATATTGAACAAGTAATCATAAAATCAAAATATTGTCTTAATTATAGGTGTTACACACATTTCAAAGAAAAATAGACACGTAACATGCAGATAATATTATATTACCTTAATTGCACAAAGGAAAATTAGAGAAAAAAAAAATACTAATAATAATCATCAACGTAAACATTAAAATAATAATTTATATAAAAAATAAATTTAAAATATTTATAATCACTTCCAGAAGTCTGGCTAGTTTTAACACTCTCATTGTTTAAGGACCAAAATTTAGTGTGTTTTTTGTTGGGAAAGAGGAAGTTTGGTTCCAATTTTCAGCTGGGTTCATACTTTGATTAATTTTTAATATTAGAAGTGTGTTATACTGATGTGCTTGATGAAGGAAAATTGCGTTCTTGCAACTTGTATATTTTGGTGGAATTCAAATTTAAATAGAACGTACGTCCTAAAAAATGTTTCCATATTAGCAGAATTCGAACTTGTGTCCTAAATATTACGTTCCAGTTATTTTATTAACTATGCTATAATGCTCTGATTGGGATTTGAATTTCAATTCCAATATTAGCTCGATATTACTTCAATGTTCATGTTTAAGACACTTATTATCATAAAGATATATATGTCAACGTTAGTGATTATTATGTAATGTTTTGTTGAATTTATTATTACTGTTTTTTAATTTAAATTTTGCTTTACTACAATTATTATATTTTGCATGATGTGATAGCCTATAATTAAAAGGACATTTAAGTTATTATTAATAGTTTGATAGTGTAATGAATGTAATAATGTTTTCTTTTGTTAAAGATAATTCTACCAGTGTATCGTAGGCAGTAGAAGGTGAAGGCTGTGATGAAGATGTTCGAGTGCCCCACGTAGTCCACCAGAGCCTCCGCCCAGAACAATGCGGGTAGGGCGGGCAGGGAACCAGCAGTTAGTGTCAAACCGACCTCCGTCAGAGTACCGTTGAGTTGAAATACAGTCCTTTGAAGTGATCAGAATATGTAAACGATTAAAATAATACAAAATTTGATATAAAATAGATGTTTGCTGATGAAAACTAGGTCTTTCAAATCTCATATTGCTGGCATTTGACAACTTTTATCGCTAGCTCATTCATATTATGTATTATTTTTTTAAATGAGTCATTGTTACTTGATTATAGAAATAAATAATAATGATAATAATAATATTTTTGTAAGTCTACAAAGCTTCTAGACTCTCTGTTTCTTTCCCATCAACGCAGACGTCACATATTGTTCGACTTTTTGACAGTTTAAAAGCTTATCACAATTAGTACAGGAGTTTGAGGGCTAGATCAAACATTTGCTAAAGATGCAATTCGAACTGTTTAAGAAATTTATCATGATTTAAAAACCATGGACAATTATGTTTAAAAACAGACTGGAACGAAGATTTAAAATATTTTTTTAAAAAATATACCTAATTTTATCATTTATTGTTAATTTTAATAAGCCGTCATAATATATTATACATATTTTACATGGGTCCCACTAGAAAACATCGTGGATATTCTATAGGAAAGCGGATGAAGAATTTCAAACAATAAGATTTAAATTTATTTTGAATACCTAATAAAATAATTTAACATGTCTATCCAAAATTTCAATTCGAGTTATTTTCATTGAAGGTAATTACATTAATAATTCATCTATATACATACCATGGCAGGTAAGCGTCGATGCCGCTCCACAGTGTTCCTAGCAGCAGCAGAACAGCACTGACTGCTGCTGTCTCAGCGCCGTATCTCCGGACAGCGGACATGGGCAGCGCTAACACGCCAGTCGCTGTATGCCACCACCACTCAGGCGTGGACAACGGCATGTGACTATTCAATGAATAGTATTCATATAGAACGTGTATGTAGAATATGCGACTACCCTCACATATGGAATATGTAAGTATGTATAGTTCGTTTGATTTAAGCTGAGCTTTGAGTTCGTGTGAGTGAACACGGATAGTGTAGGTGAGATATAAAATTTTTGAATGAAACGTTCTTTTCTAGTTTTGAACCGGTTTATTCTGCTTTTACTCCGCCCCGCACCTTCCTCACTTCACCTTTTGTACTGGTAGCAATATCAAATGTTGAAAACGCAATGACAAGTGAATAAGAATTTGTAGTTTTTTCAAAATTCTTATTAATCAATAATATTTTTTTCCTCGATATTCAAAATATTTCCATCTGGACTTTTACAAGTTTTGCTTATTTTATAGAACTTATGTTATGTATCTATTTAAAATATAATAAAATTTAATTGTAAAAGTTTTTTGTCTAACTCTCCTTTTACTTTCACTCACATAAATTCAAAGCTCAGCTTAAGTATAAAAGACTATATTATGATGATTGAAATTGTTATAATATCAATATTGTACCCGTCAAAGTTCTTAGTCTCTAGTCGTGAGCTTGTTCAACCATAAATCTGTCTTTACATAGTTCAGTATAATATCGGCACATTACATTTGGGGAAATGTATAAGGAAATGCCACTAATTAACAGAGAGAAGGAGAAATTTTTATTTGGTAGTACGATTGTGCGATCTAAAAAGTGTACAAAATTTCTATTTCAAAATGTTAAATTAAAATATATTATACTAGTTTTTGCCCGCGACTTCGTCCGCGTTAGTTTCGTTATTAGTAATATATGTATAGCTGACCGGGCGAACTCTATTCCGTCTTAGAGGAGATAAATAATCAGATTTTTCCTGTTTCAATCAAACAGAATGATTGACACATTTGTTGTCAAATCTAATGTCAAAGAAAACGTTTGTATGGGAAATAGAAAAGGGCTGTTTTTTGGGTTTTCCCGGCAATTATTCCAATTTTTATCACCTTTTAAACCTTCCCTGGACCGCCAGGAGTATTTCAAGACTAAAATTAGCCAAATCGGTTCAGCCGTTCTCGAGTTTTAGCGAGACTAAGGAACAGCAATCCATTTTTATATATATAGAAGATTAAAATTATTTCACTAAGAGGTTTCGAATCGCGAATTAATTTGAAGCTCATATTGTTTGAGTGACAAACATCTAACTAATGACTTCAAATGAAAATTTCCCACAAGGTATCGTATTTCTTCGAAAAAGTTTTTTCATTTTAATTCTCAAGTTGATTTAATTATCAAGTTTAAAATTAAGAATAAAATAGAAGTATAAAAAAAATCGAATAGCCGACTTCGTCATATAAATCTAAATTAAAATTTATTAAACACTACAATAACAAAAGCGAAAATCAAAACACAGTAACTATGAACAGAGTGCTTTACGCTTTCATAGTATACGTATAATAAAAAACAGATTGAAATACACATTAAAAGGAAGCGAAACAGGACATTAGAACAGACGAGACGCGCGGATAAATACGAACGGCTTAAAAAACGGTTACGATATAACATGAAACAATGAACATGTTTTATAATGGACATTTTGTGGTACACTGTACCACAGGCTCTCATTGTTGTCTCGTCTTACCACATGTTTGAAACGTCATACTGAAGGTTTAGAGTTTTTTCATTCGTTAATACAATCGTGTGAGTTTTTTCAGGATAGTGCAAATCCGCGTAACTAACATTGGATAATTCCGAGTGTCTGCATTAGAAGAAGATTGTCAGAAGAAAGTTTGAGCTGAAATATTTTCTATATTAACGATTTTTAAAGTAATTTTTTCACAATTTTTATTTATTACTAATTATGTTAAAATTACTTTAAAAGACGTTAATTTAGAAATAACTCAGCTCAAATTTCCTTCTTATAATTTGGTTCCAATATAGATCCCCGACGATTTGTAAATAAAAACTTGAAACGCGGCGTCTGTAGTGTGACGATGTAAACTAGTCATAAGGGTAAAATGCTCGGTTATTATATAAGTTTTTTATCATTGTTTGTACTAGTAACTATAGTTCTAAGTTACACGTTAGTTATAGTACTGCTGTTAAGTTTCCACTTTAACCAAGTGTATGATAGTTTACGACTAAAGTTAAGCACTCCTCCAAACTGCTCTCTTGAGAGACATAAAGTTTAAAATAATATGATTTTAACGGATAAGAGTTGCAACCATAAAAATGTTTTAAGCAGTCTTTACTTAAAACGTTGTTATGATTTACCAAGCTCAAGATTTTTCTGTTTTTTTTTTTTTACGTTACGAATTAAATATCTACATGTTAGTAATGTTTTGGATTATTTTATATTTAGCCTGATGTTTCTATACCAGTCTTTCTCAAAGTGTGATTTTGAATTCTGGTTTAAAGTGAGCCGATAAGAGACTAAGAAATAAATAGACGCCTTGTAGGTGATTTACAATTTCATTTAACAAGCATAAGTTATATTGATTTTTCAGTAGGTGAAAAAAGGGGACGCAACAAAATTATTCTCAAATTGGGCAGGAGATAAAATAAGTTTGGGAACCACTGCTTTTATCAAAGTTACAAATATTCATTCACATAGATTTTCCCATATACAAGATAGCTAATATTTCATTATACTCACGTGTCGAACAATAGTATGAGAGCTCCTATGACCATGAACACAGCGTGCAACAAGAATGGCACTAAGTAAGGAGATTCTGTCATTTGTTCGCCAGCATAGCCAGCTAATGGCGGGAATATGGCCAACCCTAACGTCCCGAATGCCAGCTGTCGGCCAACATCGCCACGGCCCAGTGACGTCTCTCTAGTAGCGATCACGCAGGCCGCGCCTAGTAATGCCAGACCTGCTGTTGGCCATATATCTGCCAGCACCCTGTATATATATGAAAAATATCATTAATGACTAAAGTAGAAGTGGATGTTAGAACTGTAGTTAGTTTTGCTATATTTTTTTGTCCTAATAGACCTTCTTAAGATAGGACAGATGTTAAATTAATAGATTAAAGCTTGTGATATAAATTATGTTGTGTGTGTATTATGTACATAATGAGATCTAAGATTTTCGCGAGTATTCATTTAAAAGAAACTACAATTTTTAGGATATACTACGCTATTTTATTTTTGATCAACCGTGATCACGGGCAGACGAGATATGAGTATAATATATGTAGTTTTTATCAGAAGTAAAGTCGCGTAGTATATGTGAAAAATAATAATTTCCTTTAAGTGTTATATACAATAGAAGATACTTTATTAAGTGATAGAGCCTGGCTGTGGTCAAGTTAATGCAGTTTAAACATGGGCTGGCTCGACTGGGGAAGTACCACCTTTGCACAGAATATCAGCGTAAAGTAGTCTTTAATGACTGTGTTTCGTCCGATGAGTGAAAGAGCCGGTTGCCCGTTTCCTTTTCCCAACCTTTCCCACGTTTTCCTCCCCCTTTTCCCTAAGTGCAGTTTTGCAGTGTTTGCTTTTAACTGGCTTTACACAATTTATGCACGTTTTTTTAATTTTATATGTAACTTTATTTAATTATTCATTTGTGTAAAAATTGCTAGCGAACCTATAAATAAATAAATAAATAAATAAATAATCAAGGTAGGCAACATATCCATATCATTTTTTATGTTGCAGATATCTATGGGCGATGGTACTACCTCCATCGAGTAGACCGAGTAGACCATCTACTCGTTAGCCCCTCCACCATACAAAAGAAGACCAACCTAATAACGAGGTATGTCCAAAAGGTAGTAGCAGGTTCTCCTACAATATGTCTACACTCAGCATCAGCCAGTACTCCATCAGGTTCATCGTAAGGATCCATGACCTGGCATCGCACCGCGGGTTTACACGTCTCCCCTTCCACTAAGATTTCAGCTAAACGATTCGGTGGCACCAGACATTTTGACGGACCACCTTTAATAAATAATATAAATACAGATTATTATATTTCTTTCTTACCTAATTATAAAAAAAAGAATGAATAAAATCTACTAAGCAAGTTATATAGGGGAGAGTCGGATATATCGTACCACTTTTCACTTTAACTCAAATATTTCGACTATAACACGTCTTATAACAATTAATACATATGTAAAATAAAGTTTCTTATTTTAGCTTCCTAAGAAGAAGAGAACAGATCCTTGCGATTATTCTAACATTGTTAAAAATGCTTTTTTATAGAGGCTTGCCATCGGTACGATTTAGCCGACTAGTCGTTTTAATCGTACCACTAAGTCTTTAAATCGTACCATGGGTGTTTAAGTCGTACCACTGACTAAAAGACATTAAAATTCTAAATCTAATTATTTATTTTTAACTGTTAGGTAAGTAATAAAACAACATTATTAATATCTTTTAGGTAATAGAAACTTAATTTTTAACTCTTAGGTTATATAAAGGAACTAGGTATAAGCTTTCTCAGTAAAATAACATGATTATACTCTGATAATGAGATCAATCAACATAACTAATAAAAATGAGACAAAAAAAAACAGTAAACTATAATAATAAAGTAATACATAGTTAACAAGAATGTTATTTGTAATATAATTATTGTGCATATTTCTTAATGGAAACAATCATGACAAATGTCTGGATTCGAAGTACACGTCTCATGTAGCCACCGTTTACAGCGAACGCATTGAATCCAATCAACTTTTGGATCCTTCTTATCGTAGTAAGAACAATTGCACTTTCGACATATATTTTCAAGATAATCATCGCTGTCATCATCATCATCTAGTTCTACTACAAGTGTCTCTCCTGAATCATCGCTACTGATGATGGAATGAGATCGTTTCCTCTTAAAACTTTTGTTCTTGGCCTTGGGTAGTACTTACTATACGTACTTGCGGTAGTACTATAGGTACTTGCGGTGGGTAGTCGGGTAAATCGTACCAGTACAATTTAACCAACTGCAAGTGGTACGATTAAACCAACTAAGGCATTTCTAAAACAAAAGCAAATATCCGGTATAAACTCAAAACTTAGACACGCAACAAAAACCCCCAATAATCTAGTATACAATTGTGGAATAATGAAAAAAAACTGAATAACTATAACTTACCTTGATTACGAGTTATCTCCTTACGAATGTACGACAATATTTATATTAATTCCTACAAAAAATGTTTTTCTTTTATTACTTGCACAGTTGTTAACTCACGTCGATTTAAACTAGTGGGTGAAGAGGGATGGTACAGGGCCACGATTTGTTGTTGTCAGTGTAGAAAAAAATATTCATTAAATGGGAAATTTAGAAGTGGTACGATTTAAATGCTAGTACGATATAACCAACTCTCCCCTATATATAAAAGAAAGTTGTGATAGTTAGGCTATTCATAACTTAAGAACGGCTGTAGGGATATGATTGAAAATTGCTGGAGAAATAGCTCAGAACCAAGAGACGGACATAGGATATTTAATTCTTTTTGATCGAAAAAAATAACTAAATAAATTCCAAAATTTCGTTCGGAATAGAGTTCGCCCTGGATATTACTAATTCCGAAATTAACGCGGATGAAGTCGCAGGCAAAACTAGTCTATAATATAAAAAAGTAAAAGTTTATTAACCTACCAGTTCTATACGTGCACCAATTGTTCTCAGCTGTAGAATTATCTTGTGGTGGTTCCGGTGCTAGTAATGACAGTGGAACCCTCAACCTAGCGGAGTGTTGCATGTATACCAGACACTGTCCATTATAACACAGGTGTGGAGGGTTCAGCTCGAAGTAATCCTCGTCTTCTGGTTCCTCGGTAGCCAGGTCTGGAGGGGTCTGGTGGAAAATTTACTTAGAATCCTACTAATATTATAATCGCGAAAGTTTGTGAGTTGGTGTGTATGTTTGTTACTTCTTTACGCTCAAACGGCTGAAGTGATTTTGGTAAAATGTTGTATATAGGAAGCTGACGTCCAGGAATAACACATAGGCTACATATATAGTTATCATATAATATTTGAAAGTAGATTTATTAACACATAACTATTGAGATCTAAGATTTTCAAGTTTTATTCATTTAAATTGAAACTAATATTTTTCGGATTATACTACGCGATTTTATTTTTCACATCTCGTCTGCCCGTGATATCAATTGCCAAAAAGTAGCCGAAACGTCGGGACTATGTAGTTTTTTTACGAAAATAATACGCAAAATATTATTTTCATTTAAACATATAACCCTGTTATGACATGGTCATGAAAAATAGAAAAATTGCTCATCGATTTTATATAAATTATTTTGTATTATTACGTTATAGCCTTAATTCAATCGACGCTGTAACGTCACTTCCAAGCCTTGACATTTACTCCCTTGAAAATCTTAATAGGCAGTTAAGACTGTTCTATTAGTCCGTTGGAATTATAGGCCCTTTATAAAAATCATTTTTTTAATAAACAATAATGGATTTATTATTATCAATTTTTATATATGTTTTTAATAAGTATTAATAAAGAAAATTTAGAAATATACCTATACATTTTTGTGATAAAGATTATTTTTTTTATATTTTTTTTGCGAACATTATGAAAAAACTTCAGCTAACTGCCAAGTTATTTAATATAAATGTAGATTAAATATTTTTAAGATATCGTTGTATTATTAGTACGATATGTTTGTATTTCTTTTCATAACATCCCTAGTATAAGGTTTCATCTTAATAAGCACGTGGGTTACTGAGTAATAATCGGGGTTTGCTGACATCGGATTGAGGCTAAGCAATTATTTGAGTTACCAATAAAAAACTTCTATTATGACATTTTTTTATCATTTTTGAATCATTGTTTGTATATTTGGACCGTTATTATTTTCTATTCTTATTGAAATTGAATACAACTGTTTATTTATATGACGCCGATTTCGATTTAGCTGACAAAATATATCCCACATTTGATAGAGATTCGATTGTCAGTTAAGAAATATATAATAAAAAATCAAGACTATTAATTTTGTAAGAAACATTTATGTTTCATTAGGATAAAATTACTTATTTATTCAATTAAACAGTAAAAGAGAAGTTTGTAACGATCACACTTGGGTGATTCAAAAGCGTCACTGAATCATATTTTAAATATGGAACGTGATCGTTGTTACGTCATCGTCAGAACTAAACGAGGTTTCATATCTGAATGTGTCAAAGGTTGTGAATTATAATATATTCGTCATTGCTTCATTGACTCGTATGTACAAACAAGATTTGACCAAGACTTATTTTTATATAATTATATAGTGATATAAATATGTAAAATTTCCAAAACTTTACTTTTACTTTTAGGACTTTTTAAGGCAGGTAATTGATAATATATTATATGGTACAGCTATTCCAGAAATTGTTCCCAACAAAGAAATAAATATATTTTTTTAATAAATATTGGCGTACCTATTATAATTATATACATAAAATTCTAAAACCAGTTACTTTAGAGCGATTATTTGAATATTAAGAACATGTAGTCACATTTTATGTATTTGTTTAGATTACATAATGTTCGTTCTATTTACAAAAATAGTTTCAACATCAAAATTAGTGACATCAACGCTGATAGTAAATAAAAATACTGGCACGTACACACTAAAACACACTCATAAAAAAATATATAAGCAACATTTGTTTCATTTTTTTGCATTTCGAATTTGGAACAAAATTTGATTGGTTTATGTGTATGTAATGAAGCAACATTTGTTTCATTTTTTGCATTTCGAATTTGGAACTGAATTTTATTGGCGTATGTGTACTTTAATGAAGCAACATTAGTTTAATTTTTTTGCATTTCGAATTTGGAACTGAATCTGGAATTGGCTCATGTGTACTTTAATGAAGAAACATTTTTTTCATTTTTTTTGCATTTCGAATTTGGAACTGAATTTGATTGGTTCATGTGTACTTTTATGAAGCAACATTTGTTTCATTTTTTTTGCATTTCGAATTTGGAACAAAATTTGATTGGCTCATGTGTACTTTTATGAAGCAACATATTTTGTTTCATTTTTTTGCATTTCGAATTTGGAACTGAATTTGATTGGTTCATGTGTACTTTAATGTCAAATGTCATAAATCGGTAGTCATATTTAAATTTAGAACGTGTTTACTCACAGTTGCGTTTGCGACGCTGTTGTACATAGGGCTGAGGGTGGTGGTTGTGGATGTTGTAGTGAATGGTTGCATCACCCACGTGAGGTTGTCATCTGCGCACCCGTACTCACAAGCACTCACAGCCAACACACCAGACTGATGTGAATATAAAATTCAATAAAAATATCGTCCATTTATAGTGAAAAATAGTTAATATAATTAAATATAGCACCGTGATGATTTAAAAAAGGAATTTACAAATGATGTTCTGTTATAGGTCAAATCAGCAACTAAATTCATTTTGTACTAGTATGATCTAAATTAGTTATCTCATATTTTTAAAGTAGATACAAGGGGACATAAGGTATAGTCGGATGTAGATTTCAAACTTTATCATTATCATCAGCCTATTACCAGAGCCCACTGCTGAGCAAAGGCCTCTTCTCACATGGAGAAGATTAGTGCATTAATCACCACGCTTGCTCAAGACGGGTTGGTGATTTCAAACTTATTATTGTGAAATTATAAGTCCAGGTTTCCTCACTATATTTTCCTTCATCTATCAGTGGTGTCTAAATACTCTTCAAAGTACATATGACTCATAAAAATCACATTGGTTCTTACCAAGATCGAACCCGCGCTCTCATTCACAAGAGGGAAGCCTTTAACCTTTAAGCCACCACGACTATTTCAAACCTTACATCCTATATCCTTATCCTTAACATTTTATTATCATAATTGTATACAGCTACATCTTCCTGGCAATTTCCCAGCTTTAGCCAGGGTCTGCCATGAAGAAGCTACGTCCTATACAAACCTTCTCTCCCTGCCATCGCTTGCACTGCATTCCTTCTCCACAGACTTCTTGCATCACGTACGCTCCAGACGCGTCGCACATGAATAAAACTTGGGGCCGGCGAGCCTGATAAATATAATTAATTAGTTTTATAATTAATTATATTCAGTTATAGAAATAAACTATTTTATTGGGGTTTCTACACGTTTTTTTATTATTTTGAACTACCTACACCCGAAGTTTCGGTTACTTTGCAGTAATCGTGATCTCGGGCAGACTAGATGTTTCATCATTGATCATTAATTATTATAAAAAGAATTTAGTATTTCTAACGTAATCTCTATTCCAGGTATAAAGAAACACAGCAGACACAGATTTGTGCTAATTTGGTTTAGGCTCGGCATGTATAAATACACCAATCTTGTGATGTCAAAAAATGTAAACCAATTAAATTAAAGATACTACAAAATATTTTGCTATAAGTAACGAAACTAATCTAACTGGTTTTATGGGACTTAGAATTTTTTCGACCATCATCCTACATCCATGTATATTTGCACTTAAAATTATAAAAAATCAATGGTTTATTCAGTTAACGTTTTCCAAGCATAAATCATTCCTTGGAGTTCAGATACTTCACAGAATTAATACAATATCCTTGCCTTGACATTCACCATCCAACGCAGAGATCTTTGAGATACTAACAAAAAATCATCTCTAATTAATTTGACAACGAAAACTAATAATAAAGAACATGCTTTGAACTACTAATAAAAAATCATTAATTAATTTGACAACGAAAACTTATAAAGATCATCAAACTCACTTCATGTCTTTCAGTATAAGGTACAGCCAGCAGCAGCGTGTAAAACACAGCGCTTAATATTAAACAAATTGCTGTCACAATACGAAGCAGACGACCGGAGCCGCTCGGAATGGTCCCGCCACCGGTGGAGCCACGACCTATTGATAACCTACGAAATAAACCATATAATACTCATATTAATATGCTAACTGTACTAAAGCTTGCTCGCGACATAAGCGAAGTTAAAAATCGTCGCGGATAGTGCAAATCCGCGTAACTACCATTGGATGATTCCGCGTATCTACATTGGAAGATTAGCAGAAGTAACTTTTTCACAATTAGTAAAAATGAAACATTAAAGACTTATTAATTGTGAAAAAGTTACCTTAAAAAACATTAGTTTAGAAAATATTTCAGCTCAAACTTTTTTCTGATAATCTGCTTCCACTTCCACGCGGAGTTGCACTATTCCCGAAGAAATATTTTCTTGTAAAATATATGTATATTTTCTTCGTATATGACGTTATTGTCAGTAAGAGTAGTAACTAAGCACATTCAATGAAACTTCTGAAAGCAATACATCAAACTTTTTCGATTAAATTTGTATATAGCGTGATAACATATAGCCTTTCTCAAAATGAGTTATCTACAACTGAAATATTTTTACGTTTCTATCCATGCATTGAGTTCACCAAACAAACAAACAATCCTCAATTTTTTTATATATAAATTTACGCTTAAGATAATATTAAAAATCACTGACGAACTGAAAAGAAACTTGTGTTTAATTTGTCAAAGAAAATTCGCGGAATCAGTATAGCCTAAAAATATATTTTTTAATTATCTTTTATATCAGAAAATATAAATGACATAACATGTTGTTGGTAGCGGCAAGTTACTTTATTAATTAATAAACATTATATCATTTTAAGGCGCGGTATGGCATTGAAGCTTACTTAATGCTTTATTTACATACAAACATATAGGTATTCGTTTCCATAAATTTACACTTTAACCTTTAATTTAAAAAAAAAAGACTTATTATGTTGGCTTTATGACAACACCAAAAAGTTTCTATGTGTATATAAAAACTTAATATACTTTTAAGTGTTATCTCAACAAAAAAAATATTTTGAAATTGGAATTCTATCAATGAAATATGAATTTGTACGGAATTTAAAATTGGAATCCTATCAATGAAATATGAATTACATAGTACCGTATTTAAAATTGGAATCCTATCAATGAAATACGAATTAGTACCGTATTTAAAATTGGAATTCTATCAATGAAATATGAATTAGTACGGAATTTAAAATTGAAATGTTATGTATGAGAAATAATGTTCTAAATTCAAATTTTCATATATTACTTGTCAATAAGCGGTCCTAGTATCGCTGGTCCGAGCAGTGCGATGCATGGCGCGACCGCTGACACAAGTCTCGCCTCCCCTCTATCCAAACCTACATGCAGCATATGCAGAGGAAGGTATGGGAAGATACATCCTATACCTAGATAAAGACAAACAAACATACATTATAAAAAATATTATTTGATATAATCCCTACTAATATTATAAATGCGAAAGTAACTCTGTCTGTTTGCTACGCTTTCACGCGTAAACCACAGAACTGATTTTAATGAAATTTGGTACAGATATAAATTTGACCTTCAGGAAGAACATAGGATAGTTTTTATATTAGACTTTTGAAAGGTTCTCTTGGAAACGCGATATAACCGAACTCCACGCGGGCGAAGCTGCGGGCGGAAAGCTAGTATAATATAATATTAGGTCTTCTGATGTAAGCACAGTAAAATGATGCCTCTTATTCTCATAAACACGTCAGTTCTTGAGAAAACTGCATACAAACGAACATACAAATCAGTAGAATGCAGTTCTTCTAACAATAAAGCGAAGATATATGTATCAGAAATGTGTAGAATTTTAAATATATTATACTATTTCAGTATATTAAAACTATTGTGTATGCGATAGGTATACAAATAGTTATTTAATGAATCACGTATTTATTGCACTCATAAAAACATGTTTATGTACGCTGTAACAAAGAAAATATGTTTAAATACTCTACAATCTACATACTCCCTTTGTCAGCACTTAAAATTATTACAATACATACATATGTATATTAAATTTAATAAAAATCTTTCCTTTTATTGTTATATATAGAGTTTAGTTTTCTCATTTCTGTATCCTTACAACGAGTTTTAACTGTCAGACTGAACGATTTTCATTCTACACATAATAGTATCGTAGATATATGAATAAAAAAAAACGCCAAACGGTCAGTATTTAGTTCGAATTCGAAGTATTAGTAAGGGAATATTAAGGAAATCATAATTCCCGAGGAGATTGCAGGAGCGTATCCTGAGTTGAATGGTCTTTCAATATGTATACATATGGAACGACAATACTGCCTTAGAAGGAAGCTTGAAGCGTATTGGACATACAACGACGCTGAACCACTTTTTGTCATGACCTCAGGAAAAATGGTACTCACTCGGATACTGGTTTGTAAACAGCTAACAAAAAATATCGCTATAAGTACAACGGAACGGTGAAAAATATTGCTACAAGTCTCTTAAAGAGTTAAACATGTTCTGTTCATTTTGAAACCAGTCATTATATATTTAAATATAGAAAATGGAATACATTTGTCTCTTAAAATTCGATTCCAAAATTAAAATTTACATTTAAAAATATTCTAAACATTTTATTTTACATATTTCTCTAGGGCTTGAGTTACATGACTTGCGAATCGATAACTTATCGATTAAGGACTACATCTGTCTCTTTCTAAACTTCTATTCCAAAATTAAAATTTACATTTGAAAATATTGTAAACATTTTACATATGTCTCTAGGGCTTGCGTTACATGACTTGCGAATCGGTAACTTATCGATTTTTTTTTTTTTACTTACCGGCGAGGAAACAGAAGAGCACGCACTTAAGAGTAATGAGGTTCTTATTCACGAGCTGATTCATTTTTGAGTTGTTTATATCATCTTGCATCTGAAAAAATAAAAAACAAAGTCGGTCAAGTGAGCTGTCGCGTTTTAATTAGAGGACTCGCGGTAAAACAGAAACTATGAGTACTTTGAAGGATAACACTACAATTGTATTGTCATTAATGCATATGCTACAAAAATGAGATTATAAATAGATTCATATGTTTTTTATACCACGTATATAATGTTTTATTGTTCCTTTTTTAACAGATACGGAATTTTAATTAATTATTTCAGTCATATTTACTTTCTAAGAGTATTTAAACATCACTGATTAGCATTCCCAAAGGGTTGATGTCAGGCAGGCGGCCGATCTTAAAAACAAATAGCCAAAACTATTCACAACATGAAAGGCAGACCCTGGCTATAGCTAGGAAATTGCCAGGTAGAAGAAGAAGAAGGGAATTTTAATTAATTACGCCTACCTCATATAACTATAATGATAGATAATAAGGTTTTATGATAATAGCTAGAATTTATCGCCATATGTTCGTTATAATTGGATCTATTAATAGTGTATTATCGCAATCAAGCTTCGCCCACGACAGTACGGTTAGCACATGCTTTTAAAATAGTTGCCTGAGATATGACGCGATCCATTGTGATCTCATACAGAATAAATGGAAATTAAAATTATACAGGGTGACTGGTGAATTACTATCAATATTTAAGGAGGATACTCGGTACATGATTTTCATTCGAATTATGTAAAAAAAATAGGTACTTAATTTTTGACAAAATTTCCGTATAAATAAATAAAGTGTGTACACGTTCCAAGTGTTCCAAGCGTGGACGTGTGCGGCGGCGTGCTGACACAACACTACGTCACGACACGCGTATGTGTGAGTGTATGTGTATACCTAATCTGTAGGGTGTTCATACGATGCGTAATTAATTACATAACTTTTGGTTAACTTTACTTAGAAGTGTATTAATATTTATGTTATATTAATTTTTATTTTGTCATATATGATCGTCACAAATCACGTCCTCAAATATTGATAGTAATTCACCAGTCACCCTGTATAAATGCTTCCTAATTATGTTCAGTTTAGTCTAAAAGTACGAATTTTTTAACAATTTTATTATGTCTAAATAATATTTTGCATATCCCTACTAATATTATAAATGCGAAAGTAACTCTGTCTGTCTATCTGTCTGTCTGTTACACTTTCACGCCTAAACCACTGAACTGATTTTAATGAACTTTGGTACAGAGATGGAGTTGATCTTGAGAAAGAACATGGGATAGTTTTTATCCTTGACTTTTGAAAGGTTCATTTGGAAATGCGATATAACGAAAGAAAACTAGTTTATAATGAAGTAAGTTATTGAAGAATGAGGCATTTTTTATAACATTAGTAGCATCTCAAAGATGTATGTCATTAGAAGATTTTCTTTGTAGACTACTCTATCCAATATTTTTTGTATGCTATGGCTTCATTCACACTGGAATATTATACAATATTAAACATCTGTGTATATTAAGACAACGTCGCTGGCATTTTTTGATCATGTAGAAGATAGCTTATGTTCATTTCATGTGAATTTTATCGAAATTAGTTCAGGTTTTTGAATGAATGTGAGAAATTCCTTCACAACTCTAGGTTAAAACTATAGCTATTTAAATAGTAATGTTAAAATTATAGCTATTTAAAATTTCACAAAGCCAGTCGACTTGGTTTTATTGGTTTAATATCAGTTTCGTTTTTTAGTCGTGGACATTTGAAATACCTATTACTTATTAGTATGTTATTTTGTTAGGTACACGGAACTCTTCACGTGTAAGGAAAAGAAATTACCGTAGTAGATGCAATGCCGTGATAAGAGCCTTCAAATCAGGTGAAGTACTTTCATAAATCTTGATATTGTGAGAAGGAAAAATATCGAAATTATCAATCTATATAATGACTGACACACCATGGAGGAAACTATGATGAAATAATAGCACAATTAATTAAGTTATTATCAATTTTAACACAAGTAACTTTTGCGCATACTTCAAAAATACTTAAAATTTTCAGACATCATTAAGCAAAAGCTACAGTCCTTATGAAATTTTGGATACGACAGTTTACTATACTCACATGTATTTTTTTCAATAATTGTAGTACTGTAAGTGATTAATAATGAGAGTTGTTCTAAATTGTTTGAAGGCAGACCCTGGCTAAAAGTGAATTAATTGCCAGGAAGAAGAAGTTGTTCTATCAGAATGGGCTACCAATAGAAATAAGATATTAAAATACAAAGACGTCTTTAACTAAATGAAAAATGTACGTTTAAGTTTTTCATGCTTCATAATAAGAAAGATTTTTAAATAAATTTTATCATGTAGTAATTTGTTAGCCGTTTTAATTATTTCCAAGTGTTAATTTATTTTGTTCTTTTTAAAAAACCTCTGAATTTGCCAGTTAAAAAAAAAGGTATTCTATGTTATGTTTTCTAATGATAAACAGAAACAAGTAAAACTTGCAAGCTACGAACTAAACGAAATATGTATTATAAAAATTGTCACAAGAAAATAGCGATAATTTTTGCTTTAAAAGTAATCATCATCATCATCATCAGCCTATCAACGCCCACTGCTGAGCAAGGCCTCTTTCTCACAGGGAGAAGGTTTGAGCATTAATCACCACGCTTGCTCAAGACGGGTTGGTGATTTCAAACTTATAATTATGAAACTATAAGTCCAGGTTTCCTCACGATGTTTTCCTTCACCGTATGTCAGTGGTGTCTAAATACTCTCAGAAAGTACATATGATTCCGAAAAATCACATTGGTACTTGCCAGGTTTGAACCCGCGCCCTCGGCAACGAGAGACGACCCTTAACCACTAGGCCACCACTGTAAAAGTAATACAAAAGAGTATTTCTATGCATATTATACGGGTCCTTACTTATGTCTCTGTCAAAGCCAATAGAGCTAACACCTACAGACAAATCGAAAAAATATGTAAGAAAATTGATTATCCCTGACAATATTAAAAATGCGAAAGTAACTCTGTCTGTCTGTTACGCTTTCATTTCTAAACCACTGAACTGATTTTAATGAAATTTGGTACAGAGATAGAGTTGACCTTGAGAAAGAACATAGGATAGTTTTTATCCTAGACTTTTGAAAGGTTCATTTGGAAACGCGATATAACCGAACTTCACGCGGGCGAAGCTGCGAGCGAAAAGCTAGTTATTATATAAGTTAATCCCGGATCGTGTCTCCTCCATTCTACACGACTTCCAGAATATACTGTGAACATCTTTGCAAGGATGAAGACCATATTTAAAACAACAACCATAATTATAATTATTGAATTAGTTTTTGCTGTAATGATTTAAAGTAATCGTATATTTTAATCTTAATCCAAACCTGAAACCTTAGTAGGAGGATTATCCTCAAGGGAAAAATACCTTTAACGTAGTAGGTTCACGTAATAGATTACTTACAGATATATTTTAAAATGGTTTAATAAACTGTCAGTTTAAAGTTAATATTTATATATTTTTTTTAATAGAAAATAATATACATGAATATCATATGTGCATATATTATATATATAGTAAAAAGATTTATATGTATTTAATCATCAAATCCTGTATTATTTGATTTGCCTGTGTTTGCTTTACCACAGAAAAAGGGAAAATATATTGTATACTATATACCATAAAAATTACTATTCTGTGATAAAACAATTTATTAATTTTTTTGTTTTATTATTTGCGTTGATGTACATAATGTTGGTAGGGCTATCGCTGCATGATAGACGTTTTAGAGAACCAGAATTGAAGCCGAGGAAGAAAGGAATAGGAAGATAATAACAGTTACAGTCCTTGTCAGTGATGGCCTAGCGGTTAAAAGGCCCGCCTCTCAAGCTCGAGGGCGCGGGTTCGATCCTGGCCCGGGCAAGTACCAATGTGATTTTTCCGAGCCATATGTACTTTCTAAGAGTATTAAGACATCACTGATTAATGCATTCCCAAAGAGGGTTGATGTCAGGCAGGCGGCGGGTAAAAACAATTAGCCAAAACTATTCACAACATGTAAAGCAGACCCTGGCTAAAGCTGGGAAATTGTCAGGTAGAAGAATAATAGTTACAGACCTAATAGAAACATTTCATAGAAACCAATAAGAACTATAGAACGTATATAGGCCAGTTCGAAGGTACATTTTCAGGTCAAGATAAGTAGCGCAGTGTACGTAGGAAGGGTGTACGACGTACGTACTCCGTAGCTTTATGGCTCTTATTATAAACAAACCAACCGTCGTTAACATAAAAACAGCTGTTCATTACACACGGACAATTTTAGTTCGTACGAAAATAAATACATATAAAAAATACATTAATTTTGTTTATACAAATTTTCATTACTGATTACGCTATACTTTATCGAATCCAAAATGAATTGAAGATATATATTTCTTTACTATTTATTTATTCAAGATATTTGTGTCAAATATATCATTAATTTAAATCAAACTGATAGTCTTATATATTATATATATAATGTTTGCTTCTATTGTACTGTCATTTGACACGATGGTAGGTCGAAATGAAGCGTAGGTGGTAAACTAGCTATCTCTGTAGCAGTCACTGCATAAAGATATCCGATTTATAATTTTTAGGACACACAGACATTGACAAAATGTTGCAATCTTTGATGATATATTAAACAAATTTTAATCATACCTTCTCTGAATTTTCTTAACTCTATGGTCAAACTTAAAATTCTTCTTTTATCTCTTTAGTAACATCTAGCAAAGAATTGCAAAAAATATGTTCAATTTCATACAATTGTCCAAAGTAATTATGTAACGGTATTGAAATTATAGGGCTTATAAAACGATTATAGGTGCGTATAACTACTGACATGTATCTCCATGTAAATCTACTCATATAGCTTTATGCTTCACACTGATAGCTTAATAGCGTGCCAGCTGGTAATTCGTCAGAAACAGAAAACGGAATTATAATAGTATACAAA